CATTTTGATAAGTTTAAAAGCTGTGACTGTGTACGTTTTGGAAAGCGGTGACAAAACTTCAGAGAAGGAGTAAACTTAGTAGACAGAGAGTGATTAAAATGTGGAATTCGCTGCCAGAGGATGTAGCGATGGCCACGGGAATAAACAGCTTTCAAAGGGGATTAGATTGATTCATGGAGAATGAGTCTATCAGTGGCTCCTAGCCATGGTGACTGAGGGGGACCTCCACGTTCAGAGACACTAACCCTCTGAATCCCAGAGCCAGGAGGCAACATCAGGGGAAGGCCTCAGCCTCTGTGCCCTGTTGCTGTCCCTCCAGAGAAACTGTTTGGCCGCTGTGTGAGACAGGATGCTGGAGTAGATGGACCACTGGTCTGATCCAGCAGGGCTCTTCTTATGTTCTTTGGCACAGAATGTATTTGTGAATTACATATAGTTCTTTATACCTAAAGCTGGTTGAGCCAAGCTTCAGGGCATTACTGTCCACCATCTTTGGTGGGGGGGGATGTCCAAACGCATTCAGTAGCAAAGAAGTCATGGTTCAAATTCCAGGAGAAAACTTGACCCAACTCGGTCTATATGTGGAGTTAATCTGGTCTATTTGCAGGGGTTGCTGACTCCCAGATAGTTATGACTAAGCAAAGTGCATATTTGTTATATTGTTTGTACATTTTGTTTTTTGCTGTGCTGTAAACTTTTGCCATTTACTTGGAAGGGCTGTTCCAAAATGGCCTGGGTTTGTCTTCCAGAAGGTTGACCAGTATGGCAAAGAAAGGTGACCAAAGAAATAAACAAAGGCCCCGTCACACGGGCCGGATATTGAGGGGGGGAGGTGTGGCTAATTGCCCCGGCGCAGTTTGATCCGCGATTACGCGATCAGACGTGCCGGCGGCACACCACGGGTCCTTCCCTCGGCAGCGGTGGGTAAACGAGAGACCGGAGGGGAATGCCGCGCGCCAACGCGATCACACCACAGGAGTCTGGAGGCAGCCCGTGGCAAACGTTTACTAGTACTTTGGAGGTACTAGTTTTTTAACGCGCATTTTCGGCGGTAAGCCACGGGTGCGCTCCACTTCCCAGATGTTGGGGTGTGATCGCACCCGGATAATCCGTGTGACCCTTTTCATCGATGCACATGCTACTTTTTTTTGCTCACGCTCTGTGACTTCCTGCTAGAGGGGAAATGAATAAACTGGTTTAGGGACTCCTTAGACACACACCAGCTGTATATGGTGTGATGGATTAAGAATGGAAGGGTTCTTCCTTAGTAAACTTTGCTTTGGATTAGTGGTCAGTCCGAGGTGGGATGTGAAATCCAGTCTCCTATCCCTTCCCTTTCATGCATTGACCCAAGTCATCTTAATCAGCAAGCTCAGTGTGAACATACCTGTGAGTCGCAGTGGTTTGGCCAAACCAAGTTCCGATGAGCATTTGAATTAGGGCTCCAAAACTTGCTCGATATTCTGGTTGTAAATTTGGTTTCCATCCAGCCCAGGTGGAAAATGGAGTTCCTCTCTGCCTTGCTGCTTCAGTTAGCTGCAAGAGCCCTTGTATTTAGAGTTGCCAGGTCTCCCCGGGCCACCAGCCGGGGATGGGGTGGGTGGGGTTCCTAGATTTGGGGGGTGGAGCCTTGGGAAGACAGGAACCTCAGTGGAATACAATGCCACAGAGTCCACCCTCCAAAGCATCCATTTTCTCCGGGGGAACTGGTCTGTGTCATCTGGAGGTGAGCTGTAATTCTGAGGGGTCCCCGGGGGTCCCACCTGGAAGCTGGCATCCCTCGATTGGTACAAAAACAGTGTTCTCCATCACAGTTTACTGAGTAGGAAAAGGAAGTATTAAAAAAAGAAGAAAACAGTGGGGAATTTCACATTACCCAGTTTCACCCGGTTTCAAGCCGGTAAGGATCCGTTTTGAAGTGAACCGGTATAGGGCCGCCATTTCACACATGGCTTTCCCCTTCCGGTAAAGAGCTGGATCTGAAGCGGTTTGCCATTTCAGACTGCACCGCTTTTCCCCGCTTTTCCCCCTCCGGCTTTTTTTGAACGTTCGCTTTAGAGAGCTATAGCGCTATAGCCGTATAACAAAACACTCCATGCATTCCAATGGGATTGATACAATGCTATTCCGTTATAGCGCTATAGCGATATAAAGCAAACGTTTAAAAAAAAGCCGGAGATCACCTGTGCGGGCGAAAAATGGCGGGAAAAAGCGCATCGGAACTGGGAGAGGAAACTGAGGAGTACTTGGAAGCGGTTGACAGGTAAAACGCTTCAGCCTCGTTTCCTAAACGGGACAGAAGCGATTGTGTATGAAATGACAAATATATTCCGGAAGGGAACCGGTTCTCAAACGGTTCTGTCTGAAATGACAGACCAGAAACCGTTTGGGAACCGTTCCTCTTCTGCAATATATCGCCTGTCTGAAATTCCTCAGTGTCTTCCTCTTAATGATCTGGTTAGTATTCTGGAACAAAACACACACCCGTGCACACACAGAGAGTAGAGCTGAGCAGTTGGTGGTTACTCTATGAAGCTGTGGAGCTCTGCCTCCAGTGCTGTTCTTGACGGAGGAGAAAAAAATGATTTATGAAATAGCAGGGAACAGAGGGACTCAAACATCCCTTGAAGATATGCAGCTTCCTGGCTCCAGAACAAGACTACTGCTGTAGCTGGCAGTCGCCTCCTCCTCACCCAGAGAGACACAGACGCCACACTGTGCGGAGATTCAACGTAGGCTGGTTGTTTAAGCAAGGAGGACGTGGCCCAGTGGCAGAGCCTTAGCCTGGCACGGCGAAAGGTCCCAGGTTCAGTCCCCGGCACCTCCAGTTAAAAGGACCGAGGCAGTAGGTGAGGTGGAAGACCTTGGCCGGAGACCCTGGTGAGCGGCTGCCAGCCTGAGTAGACAACACTGACCTCGATGGACCGATGGTCGGATTCAGTAGAAGGCAGCTTCATGTCTGTTCATGTCGGGAAAGACTAAGGCCACTTCCGCACTTTTGTCACTCTTTTGTCCCTATTGCTTTGGGGGTGTGTCCCCCCCCTTGTTTTGTCAGAGGAAAGCGATGGCGAACCTAAACAGCATGATAAAAAGTAGAGACATCACCCTGCCAACAAAAGTCCGCATGGTCAAAGCAATGGTATTCCCAGTAGTCATGTATGGCTGTGAGAGTTGGACTATAAGGAAGGCCGAGCGCCGAAGAATAGGCTCTTTTGAACTATGGTGCTGGAGAAGACTCTTGAGAGTCCCTTGGACTGCAAGAAGATCAAATCAGTCAATCCTAAAAGAAACCAACCCTGACTGTTCCCTGGAAGGCCAGATAATGAAACTGAAGCTCAAATACTTTGGCCACCCAATGAGAAGGGAGCACTCACTGGAGAAGACCCTGATGCTGGGAAAGACTGGAGGTCAAAGAAGACGGGGACGGCAAAGGATGAGATGGTTAGACAGTGTCATCGATGCAACGAACATGAAGTTGAGCCAACTTCAGAGGACGGCGGAAGACAAGAAGGCCTGGCGGGAGCTGGTCCATGGGGTCGCGAAGAGTCGGACTCGACTGTGCGACTGAACAACAACAACAACAACAACCCCCCGTTTCCACATGTGTTTTACTCCCTCTGGGACTACCAGAGAGAGCAAAACAAATGGGGGGGGGGACATCCTGAAGCAACAGGGAAAAACGAGTGCAGACAATGCAGAAGTGGTCTTAGGCTGGGTTCACAGGGAGGGCTTCCGTCTTGCCACGTGCGGGTTTTTTTTTTTATCCCCTGTTTTAGGGAAATGGGACTCTGCGCTTTGAAGTCCTGCTCTGTGCCTGATGACAACATATTGTTGTTTTCCTCTTTAGAAATGTTGCTTGACGAGCGTCCGCTTTGATCCTCCATTAGCACTGTCCCGGCTCTAATAAGTGGAGAAGTAATTGTTCTCTGACTCTTCATCACCTAATACATAATTCCATTAAGAACAAACAATGTTGCCTGCTACCATGTCGGCCCAATGGTCCATGTTGTCTCCTTTGACTGGGCAGTGGATCTCAAGCCCTCAAAGGGCTTTCCCAGAGCCAGTCTGGTGTAGTGGTTAAGTGTGCAGACTCTAATCTGGGAGAACTGGGTTTGATTCCCCACTCCTCCACTTGCAGCTGCTGGATGACCTTGGGCAAGGCATAGTTCTGTCAGAGCTACCCTTCAAAACAGCAGTTTCTGTCAGAGCTCTCTCAGCCCCACCTACCTCACAGGGTGTCTGTTATGGGGAGGGGAGTAAGCCGCTCTGAGACTCCAAGAAAAGGGTGGGGTATAAATCCAATTTCCTCCTCCTCTTTCTTCCTTCTTCCTGAGATCCTTTTAACTAGAAGTTTTAGGGACTCCACCTGAAGACCATGCAGAGCATATGTCCCGTGTCCCAAAGGCAGGGCTATTTTTGGGCAGGAACGCACAGGAACGGAGTTCCGTCTGGCTCCCAAGTTGGCCATGCCCAGCAGGAGCTCATTAGCATAATAGGCCACACCCAACAGCAGGAACTCATTAGGATTGGCTACAATTAGGGGGGTGTGGCCTAACATGCAAAGGGGTTCCTGCTCCAAAAAAAAAGCCCTGGGTTTTGTCAACAAACAAGGTAAAGAGAATAAGAAGCAAAAGGTGGGTGTGGCTGGATGGCCACACTTCTGGTAACATGGGGGTGTGGCCTAATATGTGAATGAGCTGTGCTGTCAGGGGTGTGGCCTAATATGCTAATGATTTCCTGCTGTTGGGTATGGCCTATTATGCTAATGAGTTCCTGCTGGGCTTTTTCTACAAAAAAAGCCCTGCCCAAAGGTATGGCTTCTTTCCGAGGCCCAGGAGTAACAGCCACGCAAGAGGGAACACAGATTAGTAGTGGAGAACGTCCCAGGTTCAATACCCAGCATTCCCAAGTGATCTTCGAAGTTCACATCATCTTCGGTAGCTAGAGTGGGACATCTCTGCCTGGGGCTTTGGAGAGCCTCTGCCATTTGAAGTCCTGGGCTAAGTAGCCCAGCTTGGTGTCAAGGCATCTTCCGATACACATACATCTGAAGCAAACCAGTGGGAAAAGCTGTTCCCCAACGTGGTGCCCATGCGGTAGGGCTGCCAGGTCCGTTTCACCTGCCGGTGAAGGGATGGGGGGGACATTCCGGGAGTGGGAAGTGACGTCGCCCTCCCCCGTTCCCCCCAAAACAGTGACATCGTACACGACTTGTCTGTGTCACCTGGAAGTGTTGGCCCTGCCGGTGAAGGGATGGGGGGGACATTCCGGGAGTGGGAAGTGACATCGCCCCCCCCCGTTCCCCCCAAAACAGTGACATCGTACACGACTTGTCTGTGTCACCTGGAAGTCACGTCGGGGGCGATGCTCTGGGTTTTGTGCAAAACTCTATGGTCAGTTCAGCATCAAACCATAGAGCTTTGCCCAAAAGCCAGAGCATCGCCCTCCTGAGGTCACCACTGTGCCACTTCTAGGTGATGCAGGCACATTGCGTGCAACATTGCTGTTGGGGGGAGGGATTCCCTCTCGCCGGCCAGTAGGTCGGTGGCGGGCAGAAGCCCACAAAACCAGGGGATTGTCCGTCCCCACAGGCAATCAGCAACTCTACCGTGGGGGTGCTGTGGTGCCCGACTCTAGTTCTCCTGAGCTTTTCAGCAAGTGGGTGAGGCCTCTGCCCTCCATGTGAAAGGGTGTTCCACAGCTACGATACCAGCTGCAGATCCCGTGGGATCAGGAGGGAGTGGTAGGCACCCCCCATATTTCCTTAACACAGTGTGAGTCAATTTCCCTTTCGGCCCTGACCAGCTGTTTCCATGAACTTCTTTTGCAGCAGAGAGGGAGCTTTTTTCTAGCCCTAGAGGCTAGGGAGACAGGTTGTTGTAGCAGGGGAGATCAGTGCTGATGTGTCGAAGCCCCCCCCTTCTTGCCCAACCTTGCTGTGTTCCCAGGGGTTAGACCCTGCTTCCAACCAAAGTATAGATAAGACTGCCCTTGACAGACCGGTGGCATAGCGGTAAATAAGGCCGCTTCATGTCTTCAGCATGGTTGCCATGCAAGTCGTTTGCAAAGCAAGGAGGGAGGTAATGCAATTGGCGCCACCTTTTGGTGGAGTGTTGTTTGGTGTAGTGGTGAAGTGCGCGGACTCTAATCTGGGAGAACCGGGTTTGATTCCCCACTCCTCCACTTGCAGCTGCTGGATGACCTTGGGCAAGCCCAGGGGCCATTTCCTGCAGGAGCGCACAGGAGCGGAGCTCCGGCAGTAAAGAGCCCAGAGGGCGGGCACATGCAACAAGCCCCGCCCCCTGCTCCCAGCAGCCCTCAATAGGGCCACGAGGAGCAAGAAGCAGCCAGGTAAGTTGCAGAGCTCCCCCTGGCACCCCAGTTCCAGTGGCACCTTTAAGACCAAGTTTTATTCAGGTACAAGCTCTCCCTCTTCTGCGAGGACAGATCTGCATGTCCCCCCCCCCAATAGCTAGCAATCCAAAACAGTCCAGTGGAGCCTGAGCGGTGGGTGTTGCCTTCTGACACACTTCCGGTGATGTCAGGGTGTGTGGCATATGCAAATAAGTTATGCTAATGAGTTATGCTAATGAGCCCTTGCACCTCTTTTTCTATGAAACGACCCCTGGTCAAGCCATAGTTCTGTCAGAGGTGTTCTTGAAAGGGCAGTTCTTGAAAGAGCTCTCTCAGCCCCACCTACCTCACAGGGTGTCTGTTGTGGGGAGCGGAAGGGAAAGGAGTTTGTAAGCCGCTGAGACTCCGAGTGAAGGGCGGGGTATAAATCCAATATCCTCCTCCTCCTCCTCTTGCGGCAGCCATTTTAGGTTTGATTTCATCTCCTGGGGCAGCCATTTTGGGGTGCTGTTTACCAGCCTCTCTCCCAATTCCAAAGGTGCCCACGGGCTCAAAAAGCTTGGGGACACCCCCCCCCCAAGTTCAGAGTCATGGCGTTCTGCTCTTGGTTCTGGAACCCCACTTTCTGTGAAACTCTTGACACCTTTCCGGGGGCTGCGATGAGTCTGTGTTGGCATTCCGTGTTAACTTGGAACGGATCAAATTTTGGCTGCCATGGTTCTTCTTGATGAACTGGGAATGAGAACAAAGTGGGATTTGGGGGCGCCTCAAGTTTTCTTAGGCTTTTCTGTCGCGAAAGAACTTCCAAGGGTTGAAAGCCTCACAAAGACTTCGAGAGCAAAGGGAATGCGTTTTCATTGCTATTTTATGGAGTTTTGCCTGCAAAGCGGAGGAGGAAGAAGTGTCGGTTGCTGCGTATGGGTTTATCTGCTCTTTCTTTGTTGTTACAAACTGGTTTTTGCAAACCTACATCATTCTTAAGGGTTTGGGGTTTTTTTGGTCTTTTCTTTGAGTGTTAGCTCAGTTGTGTGGGGGGTGGGGGAGGCTTCTCATTTGCTTAATTCAGCTTTCTTTTATCTTCAAAGCCGTAACGAATGTTCCCAGTTTCCTCACTTGCGTGTTGCAATCCTATTGGAGTCTTCTGGGGTTGAAAAAGACTTGTCCTCTTAATTTCCTGTGTGCTCTAAATGGGGTAAAGTCAGTTAGACTTTTCACTCTTCGAAACCTACTGGGATTTGTCTTTTGGCAACACCTGAACTTCAGTTATGGAAACCCAGACTGTTGCATTCTGGGAGATGCTCAAGTGCAGAGGTGGACTGATTCCGGTTCTGCTACTTTTGAAGAACCCCTATAGTCCCACCTGCTGTGTTTCACTTACAAAATTGCATTCCTATTTCTTTTACCCGTGAAGGCACAACCAGTGTGTGTTAGGAGGACTTGAATACTGGAGGGTTCAGTCCTTGGTCTGTTTCCATGCACAGAGCAGGTGAGACTTGGGTGGAGTGATTCCATGTGACATAGCATCTACCTGCTCTGTTTGGTGATAAAAAGACCTCCCCATTGTGACTTGCAAGGGCCCAGGCGTCCCTCAGGATCAGCTCAGCAAATCTTTGTTGTGGGAGTCCCGGTCAGAAGTTCACTTGTGAGAAGCATGGTCCTTTCAGTGGTGGCACCAGCCCTACAGAATTGGAATTATGATTCCTTACTTTGCAAGCGAGCTCTTTATGTGGGAAGAGCTGGATCTGAGTCTTTTGGCACCTCGGAGATCAACAAGATTTGGGGGGGTGGTATCAGCTTTCAAGAGTCTGAGCTCCCTTGGTCAGATACCCGTACCGCTACTGGATTTGCATCTAGCTCCTCTACCACAGACCAGCATGCCTTTCAAACGACGGGAAGCGTACGATGTGAATATTTATGGCTGGCGTTTTTGTGTTATTTGTGTGTGTGCTTGTTCTATTGTTCTTGATTGCTGATTTTCCCCCTGCCATTGGAATTTGTCTCTTATTATCCCCAAAGAGTGATTAACACATGGAATTCACTGCCACAGGAGGTGGTGGCAGCTGCAAGCATGGACGGCTTCAAAAGGGAATTAGATAAGCACATGGAGCAGAGGTCCATCAGTGGCTATTAGCCACAAGGTGTAGATAGGGGCTCTGGGGCAAGTGATGCTCTGTCATCTTGGTGCTTGGGGGGGTCAACAGCGGGAGGGCTTCTGGTGTCCTGGCCCCACTGGTGGACCTCCTGATGGCACTGGTATTTCTGGCCACTGTGTGACACAGAGTGTTGCCTTTGGCCTGATCCAACATTGGCGTCTCTTATGTTCTTATTATGTGTGGGAGCACTGGCGGGAGATGGAGGAAGGTGGGTACTTGCTGCAGGGGAGGCGGCAATCTTCATTCCCGTGCAGTGACATCACTTCCAGTGTGACCCTGAAACATCGGTATCGTGGGAGATGGGGGGGGGAAGCCGGTACTCACTGGGGGTGGGCAGCAATATTCATCACCATGTAATGATGTGACTTCCAGCATAAGACAGTCGCACTTGCATTGCACTAGGATGATGCTCTAGCACTCATCCCAGAACTGTATGGCGTTTCTGGGCAAGTGCTAGAGCATTGACTGGTGCAAGTCCAGTGCTTCCAGGTCACACCGGAAGTGATGTCATCACGCAAAATGAAGATCACCCCTGTCTGGTTTTGCTGGCCTGCTTCTGCCTGCCAACCAGTTGAGCTTTGGCAGGTGTTGGCAGCCATTACCAGGAGCTTGCCTGCCATTAGCGGGCATCTGGTCAGCCTAGCAGAAGGGAAGGCAGAATGCCCATCTACAAATTTACCAAGTCACCTGATCAGGTCACGCTCCAATGGAAGAGCCACTTAAACTGGAGGAAGTCCCCTTAGATTGGAGGAAGTCATCATGCTTTGCTCAGTGGAGTGGAAGGGTGAGGGTAAGATCCACCCCATAGAAATACAACACATGTCTGCCAGTTTGGTTGTAGTGGTTAAGTGTGTGGACTCTAATCTGGGAGAACTGGGTTTGATTCCCCATTCCTCCACTTGCAGCTGCTGGGTGACCTTGGGTCAGTCACCATTCTCTCAGAGCTGTTCTTGAAAGAGCAGTTCTTAAAAGAGCTCTCTCAGCCCCACCTACCTCACAGGGTGTCTGTTGTGGGGAGGGGAAGGGAAAGGAGTTTGTAAGCCGCTCTGAGACTCCTTTGGGTAGTGAAGGGCGGGGTATAATTCTCCTTCTCCTTCTCCTTCTCCTTCTCCTTCTCCTTCTCCTCCTCCTGTGTTGTTGTGTGACTACTTAAAATTATGCGTTCCTCAACCATGTGTTGTTGTTTCCCCCGCACAACGTCAACTTAGAGAAATACTAGTGGAACGGGCTATTGTATCAGGGTTTTTTTGGGGGGAGGGGCTACTGATGAAGACTGAGTTGTTTTTTATTTTCATCGCCTGTACACCCATGGTGTGGTTAAAAGTGTTTCCCAAACTTTGCAGGATCAAAGGACGAGAAGACCGAAAGACTAATGACATTTGGCCGCCGTAGAAGATAATGTAATTAAAATATGTATACTCTGTGTTGACATCTCTGGTTTGGAAAGGCAGCGATAGGGGCGCTTCCCTCCTCCCCCCATCAAAGAGTCTCTGAGAGTCTTAGGAGTGCCACGGTGATGAGATTAGTGAATCAGCCAAAGGATCTCGCAGGAAGCTGGATTCCAAAGTAATTATCCCAGAATGATACCGGTCGGTACAATTAAAAACCACAAT